GGATGGTCCAGATGGAGACAATCCTCCACCCAGTACTGGATCGGATGTTCCTCAAACCCATTCAGCTCGTAAAGGTTCAGTTTTTGTGAGAACATTGAACGCTCCTCTTTGTGGGTGGTCATGAAACGTTCCTGTCTTCAAGGATAAGTCCAGCTTTCAAAGAGCTCAGAGGGTTTAGTTCAGAATCAGCTTAATTGTCGTTGCGCAGTTAAGTACAGCAAAATTTCATTCCGTACCGCCGTCCAAAGGATAGATGGAAGTGCACCGGGGCTGCAGCTTCTATGAAGCACTGCCCTTATCACTTAGATAAGAAAAGGGGAAGGCAACATGAGGAGAGAAAGTATAAAAAAGATCTCTCACACCTTGTCCTTGGACACAGGGAACAGTGGAAGGTAGCGACAAAATCTAACTCAGCAAAAGCGACATAGCTATAATACATTTTACGAAGGGGGGAGGGGGACGACAAGACGGTGAGATTGTCCATGAACACTTCCAGATAGTTTCCGCAGACTTGATAAAAGATGTTATAGTGTCTATCAGCTGGTACAACTCTGATAAGGGTTCACAGATGTTCGGGGGGGGGAGGGGGGGGGGAGCAGAGCCTCTTGATTTACTTATCCTCCAGGAGCAATATGAGATAAGTTGACCTATCCAAGGCCAGCGGGGAGGCCAGATTCAGATAAACAGCAATTGTTCTGGGCAGAACGACTCTACTGATTTCACGTCTGCCTTCAGTTCTGCTGGTTCACTCAGTGGTGAATCCAAACAGCCAGATCCATGGACATTCCACTGGTCTGTGCTTGTAGCCTGCTCCAAGGTTGAATCCTTCAATCCAACGAGTTCCAGGAGCTGCAAGTGGCCCACGATTCTCAGAAATCACGTCCAGCTTACAGTTCAGCTCGCAAAGCATCTGCGTCTGAGCGTTCGCAGCACGTTGTAATCCTTCACATGGACGGGCAGCGTCACCATGGCCAAAACTGCTGCCGACGTCTTCCTAATTAGTCGAGATCCCAGGTATCCGCCGGTTCCAAACAGCAGAAACCCTGTTATCATAAATCCAATTCTATATGCGTCTTCTACGTCCTCAAGAGACAGCACAGACACATCATCTTCCAAACACCCCAGGAATCCATGATATATCCAGCTGCGTGTGTCCCTTCAGGCCATGAGGGTTCTCCTGCACCCTCTCTCCTAGTTGAGAACATTTTTTCAATTGCATTGAGAGACCAGCTGACCAGATCCATAATTTTCGATTCGGAGGAAGTGTAAAGAGAGGTTCTGACACACAGGACAAAGAGCAACAGCAGGAGAGGGAAGAAAAGTGCCCGACGTCATCATGGGCAAGGCAGAAAAAATGTATTTGTTGTTGAATAAGAAGGACAAAGAATGTCCACCTGTTCTTGGTCTCACCGGGCCTTCATCAGATTCTAACAAGGTTCAGATCTCACCTGAAGGAAACCAAACCCGGTTTCACCGAGTCCTTCATTAACTAGCAGAAACTCAGAGAAGCTGTTGCTGCTGCCGAGAGAAGTCCATTGTTCTACAGAGAGGAGGAGCACTCACCCTGAAGGCCACACCGTGCAGTGACTCTACAGGCCTCAGTCAAAGGTCATGACCTCTTCTCTCTAAAACCAGCATGGCAGCTTCATCTGAAGGATCCACAAGACTTCTGGGACAGAACCAGACCAAAGGATAGATGTTTACCCAGAATGCACTTCAGAAAACAGCTCCTCCAGCTGTCAGCACGGTGGTTGAGGCTGATGGTCTGGGCTCCTTCAGTCACTGAGTGGAGCAGAACTCCTCTGTAGACCAAAGGGTTCTGGAGTCAGATAGTTTCAGTTTTTAAAGTTTTATGTAAAACCTGAAAGTTGGAGGACTTCTCTGTCTTTATGTTCCGTGGTGGTTTGGACCTGGGAGACATTTATGGTCGGTTTGGCAGAAGGTTTCTGAGAGAGAAGCAGCTGAGGTGCCACCAAGAGAAGATCAGTTTCTGGCTCGACACAAGCTGCTTCTAGAGAAGATCTGGTGAAGGTGCAAGTGACCTCTGGACTCTGATCCAGCTCTCTGTCCTCTCATGTCTCTGCAGGTGTCCTGTCTCAGCCACGTAGCAGCTAACTACCTGAACGCAGGGACGGTGGCGCGGCGCTGGGGGACGGCCCACGAGAGCATCGTACCGTACCAGGTAAGACCTCACCTGTTCTGACCTGCGAGGAGAGACACCTGGACGTCTTCACTCGCTGAACTCGTCCTCGTCCTGCGTCCTCGAGTTCATCAGATTTGTTTCAAACTGACGCCCCAAATATTCAAATGATCAAAACAAAATCTGAGCAGCTCAAATAAATAATCATAAATAATCATAAATAATAAATAATATAAAGGTTAAAAAGTTTGTTAAATAAGTAAATCAAGTTATGAGTCATTAAAAGTTCATGTTTACTTTGTGTTCAGTCAGAAAAACTCCATGTCCGTCTCAGAAACGTCCAAAAATAGAAACGTGAAATCAAAGCATGCGATGTTTGATGTTTATTAAAAATATAGTTTTAGACACCTGGACCGTCCGTTTGATCTTTTAGTTTTAATATTTTAAACATCATTTTATGACCAAATGATCTCAACGTTCCAAACTAAAGTTTGTCTTTTCTTAAACGAAGGAGAAAGTTTTAAATTGTTTAACTTTTTAACGGGGCTGTTTTTAATCATCAACTTCAAAACATCAAAGTAAAGGTTGCAGGTTCAGTTCCAGGCGGAACACCAGGTTCCTTCTGTGAGGAAGTTCTGCTCAGTCCGACCCAACATCCAACTCAACCTCCTGGGAGCCATGTTACCCACAATGCCTTGCTCCTGGTTCCCTTCCTCAGCCTGGGGACGATGGAGAGGAGTCCAAACGTCAGAACCAGGCCTGATGCGGGTTTGGGTTTCTGAAGGGAGTTCACATCTGTATCCTCGAGTCCAAGACGAGACGGGAAAAGGTCTGGTTCCAGAGAGGAATCGACCAAAGAGCAGCAGAGATGTTCTTCACCAGAGGTCAGGGCATAAATTCAGAACTTTCAAAACTTCTCAGTGAACTGCTGAGGACAGATTCAGGTTTTAAGTCTTTCTTCCAGCAGCCTGAATCTTTTTAACGTGAGTTGATATAAAAACTAAATCTGGATTTTACTCACTCAGCCTGGCAGAGCCAGTCCGGTCCAGAAGTTCTGATCCAGTTTATTTTAGGACCGGATGAACCTCCCAGGAGGGTCCTCAGAGACAGGAAACTGTTCTGAACCAGTCTCAAGGGGTTTCAGACTCTCAGGGGTCAAAGGTCACTGTGCTTCGGGGTGTAGAGATTTCCATCTGGGACCCCATCAGTCCTCCGATGGGGTCTTGATTGACCCGTCAACGTCCCTGTGTGGACCACGTTACCCACAAGCCCCCAGGGCGGGAGATGAAAGGCTGTGGTCTGAGGACGCCGTCACCGAGTACTGAACTGGGACTAGACAAGCAGGGAGTGGGGTGAGCCAAAGACAGGAAGTGGATCCTCCTCTGGGACTTCTTCTCCTCACCCTGAACACTCCGAGCTTCCGGGTCTTTAATGGTGAGCTGGGTCAGCTTCTAGCAGGACCTGCAGTCAGAGGTCCTCTGGATCCAGAGATGATCCTGATGTCCTCAAAGACCTGCAGGGTTGGACATAAGGCTGGTCCTCCAGACCACCACAGAAGAAGAACATGTTTCCTCTTGACTTGAAGGCTTCAGAGGAAGATCTGAAGAAGTTTCAGATGCCTGACTCACCTTAGTCCAGTCTGACTCCTGGTTCTGATGAATCATTCCATCTGACCCAGACTCAGAGATGGTTCTGTGTGGAGGTGGTTCCAGTTCTGCTTGTCCCAGAACTCTGTACATGGCGTGTTCAGGTCACATCTGGTCATGCCTCTCTTGGTTCAGGTTAGTTCCAGTAGCCGCCCGGCTGATGTGATGTCTGACCTCAACACTCCTCCTTTGCAGGAGGTGGGCCCACGTAGAGGTGGCATCCTGTCTTTTTTAGGCGTGGCCCAGCTGAGCTCCAGGAGCCAGGGCTTGTCCACTAGGTGCTCGCCAGCCCTGAGGTTTGGATCAGGATTTGAAGAACTTGATCCAGGAGCCAAACACCTGAAAGGGTCTTTCTTCGTAGGCTGGGGGGGCTCAGCTTTGGAGACAAGTGAGGAGCTCCGTCATACAGGGGGAGCCGCTGCACCTCCTCATCTGAAGGACTCAGCACAGGTCAAAGGTAATGGTCTCCTGGACACCTCCCTTTGGATGTTTTCTGAGCATATCCCACTGGGAGGACACCCTGTGTTAGACCCAGAACCCTCTGGAGGGACTATAGATCTTGTGTGGTCTGGGAACACCTCAGGGTTCCCCAGGAGGATCTGGAGGGGGTCTGTGATGAGCAGGAGATCTGTGATGAGCAAGGGGTCTCTGAGGTGCAGGAGGTTTTTGAGGAGCAGGATGTGTATGATTCTCTCTTGGACCTGCTGGTTTTTGTTGGAGACCACTCTCAGCTACTAGCACACCAAATTTTAGCTCCGTCAACGTCACAGAGTCCAGCATGTTAGCTGTGGTGGCCATCTTGGATCAACAGTTGACCTAGTGTTCCTGAGTCTCAGTAAATGCCCTCTGTGGTTCACAAGATATTTTGCTAACAGATATGATAGCCCTTTTGTTCTGCAGCTGAAGCTGTTTGTGTCCTCAGGGCTTCAGGACCAGAGACGGGCACATCGTCGTAGCTGCAGGGAACCACAAACAGTTCGTCCAGATGTGTCAGGTGAGTCCCCGTCCACCTGGAGTTCCACCTGGAGCCGGGTTAGGACCTCAGAACTTCACGCTTTGACACAGACTGGACTTTCTGTTCAGGTTCTGACTCAGATTCTTCTCTGGTGAAGAAGAACTCAGTGTTGTTTGTTGGATCTGCAGGTTCTGGACCTGAAGGAGGTCTCAGAGGAGCCCAAATACAGAACCAACAAGCTGAGAGTCCAGAACCGGAAAGAGCTGCTGGACATCCTGTCTCAGAGGTACAGGACCCACCTGACAAACCCCCCCCCGAGGATTTACATGAACCCTGACCCAGGGCCTGGTTCTGTCACAGGGTTCTACAGGTTCTATTTTTATCTAAGGTTCTGTCAGGGGTTTGTGCAGGTTCTGTTATTTCCTCTGGCAGGTTCCTGCAGGAGAACACATCTGATTGGCTGCAGAGGTTCCGGGGCTCAGGTGTTCCTGTCGGACCAATCAACAGCATCCAGGAAGTGTTCTCCGAGCCGCAGGTCAGTGATGTCACTTCCTGTTGTTCTGTGTGTCTTTTGTTCATCGAGAACTGTTGACGAGACGTTCGGAACCCGTAGAGGATGACACGGGAGTAGATTTTCACTCCTGTCCCGTCCCACTCCTGTATCGCTTGTCTTCACTTAATTTTTAGGAAATACAATGAATATGATTTGATCTTCTACCCATTCCTTTTAAATTACTTTGTGTTCTGCAGTTTTAGTTCAGAAGATATGGCAACAGGAACAGTTTGTGGTGAAATATGGAGACATTTATTGATTCATCCAAACAAAAACCTGCACTAAAGGTCAGAACAAATAATATGTGGTCTGTAGTCCATATGAAAAGGTTTGTAAGCTCAATAATCCAGGTAGATTACAACAAAAATGGTTAAATCATGTCATCTGGACCAGTTTATATGAAAATGTGAAATGTGTGGTTCCTATAGTTTTCCTATGGATCAGCTACTGAGTCCCTGTTTCTGGCTCTTTTGGAGGTCACTTACAGTAAAAACAAAAATCAGAAAACAGCAGTACATGGGTCACACCATGAACCCAAACACAACATATACAGTTACAGTTTACTCATTTATTGAGCAACTGTTTCCTTTAAACAGTGACATCACTGTCAGGTTTCAAATTGCTTAAACAAACAAACAAACAAACAAACGTACCAAGCAGAGAACTGAACAAATAAAAACACTTCAAGGCATTCTTCTTACACATCGGACGACGTCCTCAACAAGTTCACAGTCTGTGGTGGAGTAACGAGCTGGTTTGGGCGAAGCAGGACGTCGTGCAGCAGAGCATCGTTTACAGACTGGAACGGACTGGTGGTAACTGGTATTCCAAGTGAAGCTTCTTGAAAGAAAACTACAAAACAGCAGCACCTGTCCAAAGGTTTTATTTTCATTTGATTATTTGTCCTGTTGGTTGGTTCCTGCTCCTGTCTGGTCCCAGTAACTTTTCGTCCTGTCCCGTCCAAATCATGTGAGTTATACTGAAGTTGACTCCTGTCCTGCAGAGTCCAGGACATTGCTCATCTACCGTACAGTTCTGGTTCTTGATGGTTGATAACGAGCAGCCTGACTGAACAAGGGGCCCCTGAACACACCGTGAAGCAGGCTGTGAGTTGTCCACGAGGTTCCACCATCGCTCTGAGCATCTGAGGTCTACCTGGATGAAAATGTTACTCAGAACCTTCCTGGACCTTCATGATTGGTCATCTGGGACACCTGGGGGCAGAGTCTCTGCAGCTGACATCAGACCAAGAACTGATTCAGGTTTACCTTAACCTCCAGGTGTGAACAGATTCGACCCAGACTCGTCAACTGTTTGGTTCTTTTAGGCCAGTCTTTGGGTCTCCATCAGAACCAGGGTCAGTTCTGCAGCAGGCCACCAGGGGGTGCTGAAGGACCTGCAACTGCAGAAGAAGCTCAGCTGAACCGGCTTCATTCAAGGACCTGATCTGAGATCAGATGTTCCTGCTTCAGACCCACCAGCCAGGTCCACTCACCTTCCTCATCCACAGGTCTCAGATCAGGACCAACCAGGTCCACTCACCTCTGACCTTCTTAGGGTTTTCAGGACAGCAGTTCTCATCACCTGCCATGACCCAACAGATGAAAAAAACTGACTCACCGTGTGTGTGTGTGTGTGTGTGTGTGTGTGTGTGTGTGGGGGGGGGGGTGAAGGTGGTCTGGATCAGCAGTTCTTAGGACTTTCTGAAGGTCTTTGTTTGGCTGATCCCTCTAGTTTCAGACCTGAACATTTGACCTCTGACCTCCAGAGATACGGGACCACAGGAATCGTGTTCTGCCTGTAAAACCGTCTCGTGCACGCTCATGGTATTCACGTGCACTGAGACCTTTGAAGCACCATGAACATGTTGTGGATGAACAGACAGAGGTTCTGCTCAGAGCCCCACATGCTGGTTTGAAGAAGTGACTGCGTGACGCAGAGGACCGTCTTCATCCTGCTGACGAAGACTCCTGTGAGTCCCTGACCCAGATTCCGTCTTTAAATTTGTCTCAGCCTCAGTGTGTGTCCCCTGGGGGGATTTCCTCTAACTGATGATGAAAACATGAAGCTCAGGGTTCATCTGTCTGTCTGAGAGCTGCTATGAGATCATCTTCATCACAAACTTCACCGCTGCTGGTCTCCTGCAGGTCCCTCTTCTGGTACCAGAGTGCTGACAGCAGCTCCTCTCTGGATTTATTTTGCTCACATAATTGCTCACATCTCTCCTGAAGTAAATGTTTCCCACATGATGGCTGCAATTAACAAAAAAGAACCTTCAGTCAGCAGAAATCAGGTTGTTTATTCTGAGCATGCTGGGAAATAATGACTTCCTCTGAGATCAGTGCTGCGTACATCAGTTGGCTTCCATTAGCATCAGTTAGCTTCTATTAGCATCAGTTAGCTTCTATTAGCTTTAATGAGCTTCCATTAGCATCAGTTAGCTTCCATTAGCAACAGGCTGCACAGAAGATGTTGGAGTCAGTCTCCCCACCATCACAGACATCTACACCTCCAGATGCAGGAAGAGGGCCACCTGCATCATGAAGGACCACACTCACCCAGCACACACACTTTTTGCCCCGCTCCTCTCAGGAAGGAGGTTGAGGAGCATTAAGTGTAGAACCACTAGACTGAGGAACAACTTCTACCCTGAGGCTGTTAGACTCATGAATCTCTAACCAGAATGATCACTGTGAAAAACAATCACTGTAATACCACTTGATTGTTGATATGTGCTGCTGATTATCCGTGCTGCTGATCTTATGCTGCTGTGTTCATCCGTACTCATCTGTTCACACAGACTCATGTTTGTGCTGCTGTTGTTCAGCGCACAGTTTTTGTACTGCTAGTGCTTAACGTATTTTTAATTTAACGTTTTTCTTAGTTCATATCTTAGCTCACATGTGTCAAATCCAAAGTCCCCCTGTCATTTTATGTGACCCACGAGAGCTTCAAATGTCTGATTGTCGTATAATAAATAAGTCAAACTGGTACATTGACAACAAACTACATTTCCTATAATGCATGCTGATTATGTGATCTGCGAAGTAACATCATCCCACCACTAGATTGCAGGTTTTTACATCAATATCATTTTCCGAACAAATGGAATTGCGAAATACAAACAATGATCCCAAACTGTCCAGGAAGATAAAATTTGATGCAGATTGAAGGCTGTTTCAAGAAATATGGGGAGGTGAATATATGTTTGTGCTTCAAGGAGAGAAACCGCATGTCTTTTGTGTTATGAGGCAGTGGAGGTCGTCAATGAATACAATCTGCGTCGGCATTTTGACACCAAACATGGGGCTAAGTATACCAAAGTGAGTCTTCAACCCTGATGTTGTTATTTTGAGTTTATTATACTTATTAAATGTATTTTATTACAAAACGGATTCCAAAAAAGTTGGGACACTAAACAAATTGTGAATAAAAAGTGAATGCAATGATGTGGAGGTGCCAACATCTAATATTTTATTCAGAATAAAACACAGATCAAAAGTTTAAACTGAGAGAATGTATCATTTTAAGGGAAAAATCTGTTGTTTCCAAATTTCATGGCGTCAACAAATCCCAAAAAAGTTGGGACAAGTCCATTTTTCCCACTGTGTGGCATCCCCCCTTCTTCTTCCAACACTCAACAGACGTCTGGGGACAGAGGAGACCAGTTTCTCCAGTTTAGAAATAGGAATGCTCTCCCATTCATGTCTAATACAGGCCTCTAACTGTTCAATCGTCTTGGGCCTTCTTTGTGGCACCTTCCTCTTTATGATGCGCCAAATGTTCTCTATAGGTGAAAGATCTGGACTGCAGGCTGGCCATTTCAGTACCCGGATCCTTCTCCTACGTAGCCATGATGTTGTGATTGCTGCAGAATGTGGTCTGGCATTATGGTGTTGAAAAATGCAGGGTCTTCCCTGAAAGAGATGACGTCTAGATGGGAGCATATGTTGTTCTAGAACCTGAACATAGTTCTCTGCATTAATGGTGCCTTTCCAGACATGCAAGCTGCCCATGCCACAAGCGCTCATGCAACCCCATACCATCAGTGATGCAGGCTTCTGAACGGAGCGTTGATAACAACTTGGGCTATCCTTGTCCTCTCTGGTCCGGATGACATGGCGTCCCAGTGTTCCATAAAGAACTTCAAATCGTGACTCATCTGACCACAGAACAGTCTTCCATTTTGCCACACTCCATTTTAAATGACCCCTGGCCCAGTGCAAACGTCTGAGCTTGTGGAGCTTGCTTAGAAATGGCTTCCTCTTTGCACTGTAGAGTTTCAGCTGGCAACGGCGGATGGCACGGTGGATTGTGTTCACTGACAATGCTTTCTGGAAGTATTCCTGAGCCCATTCTGTTATTTCCTTGACAGTGGCATTCCTGTTTGAGGTGCAGTGACGTTTAAGGGCCCGGAGATCACGAGCATCCAGTAGTTTTACGACCTTGACCCTTACGCACAGCGATTGTTCCAGATTCTCTGAATCTTTTGATGATGTTATGCACGGTTGATGATGATAACTTAAAAGTCTTTGCTATTTTATGCTGGGTAACACCATTCTGGTATTGCTGCACTATCTTTCTGTGCAACAATGGTGGAATTGGTGATCCTCTTACCATCTTGGCTTCTGAGAGACACTGACACTCTGAGAAGCTCTTTTTATACCCAATCATGTTGTCAATTGACCTAATTAGTGTTAATTGGTCTTCCAGTTGTTCGTTATATGCTCAATTTCCTTTTTCCAGCCACTTATTGCTACTTGTCCCAACTTTTTGGGGATTTGTTGACACTGTGAAATTTTGAATCAACATATTTTTCCTTTAAAATGTTACATTTACTCAGATTAAACTTTTGATCTGTCATCTATGTTATATTACGAATAAAATATTGACATTTGCCATCTACACATCATTGCATTCAGTTTTTATTCACAATTTGTTTAGTGTCCCAACTTTTTTGGAATCCGGTTTGTATATTATGT